GATAAAGGGCATCCTTGTCTTGTTCCTGTTTTCAAGGGGAATGTTTTCAGCCTCTCTCCATTAAGAATGATGTTGGCCGTTGGTTTTGCATAGATACCCTTTATTATGTTGAGAAAGCAGAGTCATTTTTAAGAGTTTATTTGTATGTTGCCTTAGTTATCTAGTGTTGCTATAACAGAAATACCACAAATGGATGGCTTTAACAAACGGAAATTTATTCTCACAGTCTAGGAGGTTAGAAGCCTGAATTCAGGGTGCCAGCTCCCAGGAAGACTTTCTCTCTCTGTTGTTTCTGGGAGAAGGTCCTAGTCACCAATCTTCCCCTGGTCTAGGAGCTTCTCAGTGCAGGACCCTGGATCCAAAGGATGGGCTCCACTCCGGCACTTCTTACTCAGTGGTGTGAGGTCCCTCTCCTCTCTGCTCAATTCTCTTTTGTATCTCAAAAGACATTAACTCAAGATACAACCTAATCCTGTAGATTGAGACCTGCCTCATTAACATAACTGCCTCTAATCCTGCCTCATTAACATCACTGAAGTTAGGATTTACAGCACATAGGATAATCATATCCGATCACAAAATGGTGGAAAATCACACCATACTGGGAATCATGGCCTAGCCAAGTAGACACATACTTTTGAGGGACATAATTCAATCCATAACATACATATTAGCATAAATGAATACATGTGAAGATACTTCCAAAGGATAGTCAAAATTATCAGTGGTGGTCCTCAACCAGTGTTAGAATTTCAGCTGATTTTTAAATTCTGTTTTTACATTTACTGATACTGTTTGAAATTTATATAGACAACATACATTTTTCTAAGACAGAAAAAAGCCAATTTCATTTTGGGAAAAAATTTCATTCTTTGATTTGATTCTATTTTCAGAAATCTAGTTTACAGAAATTATCATAAACATGGTCAAATATTTGAGAACAGAAAAAAAGGACAAGTTAACACATTCCACAATTTTGGTACATCCATGAAAACAATATTTCCCACAATATTCACAATGAATGTAATACATTACAGAAATACTTACAAGGTAGTCAGAGAGTTAAAAGGTCAGTAGATTACATAATCTTAAACATACAGTGTGATCCCAATTTTGTTCAGAAAAAGTTATAACAAAAATTTTTATGTAACTGACAAACTATTAGCTAGGCTGACAAAGAGAAAAGATGCAAATAACCAAAATAAGAAACAAAAGCAGAGACAGTAAAGAAGATTATAACAATACTATGAACAATTGTACTTCAACAAACTTGGTAGCTTAGATGAAATGGACAAATTTCTAGAAACACATAACCTACCTAAACTGACTCAAAAGGAAGTAGTAATTCTCAACAGACACATAGTAAGAGACAGAATCAGTAATAAAAAACTTTCCAACAAAGAAAAGCCCAGGTCCAGATGGCTTCACTGGGGAATTCTACCTATCATTTAGAGAAGAATTGACATCTATCCTTTAAATTCTTCCAAAAAGTGGAGAAAGAAGGAATATTCCTCATCTTTTTCAGGGAAGCCAGGGTCACCTTGACACCAAATCCAGACAAAGACACCACAAGAAAACTATAGACCAACATCCCTTATGAATACAGAGATCAACATTCTTAGTGAAATACTGGTAACAGAATTCAATAGCATATTAAAAGAATTATACACCATGATCAAGTAGGATTTATTCCAGGAATGCAAGGTTGGTTCAACATTAGAAAATCAGTCAATGTAATACACCATATTAACAGAACAAAGGAAAGGAACCACATGATCATCTCAACTGATGCAGAAAAGACTTTCAGTTATATCGGGCACCCTTTCCTGATAAAAACTCTTAACAAGATAAGGATAAAGGGGAAGTTCCTCTACATGATTAACGGCATTTATGAAAAACCAACAGCTGACATTATACTCAACGGAGAAAGACTGAGAGTTTTCCCCTTGAAAATGGGAACAAGACAAGGATGCCTGCTCTCACTACTCCTGTTAATATTGTATTAGAAGTCCTAGCCAGAGCAATAAGGAAAGAAAAAGAAATAAAAAGCACCCAGTTGGAAAGGAAGAGGTAAAATTATCTTTATTCGCAGGTGACATGATCCTACATATAGAAAACTCCAAAGAATCCATTAGAAAGCTTCTAGAGATATTAGAGGAATTTGGCAACGTTGCAGGATACAAGGTCAACACACAAAAATCATTTGGGTTTCTATACAACAGCCAGGAGAAATCTGAAAAGGAAATTAAGAAAACAACTCCATTTAAAGTAGTATCTAACAGAATAAAACACTTACATATAAATTTACCAGGGGATGTTGTTATGGACTGAACTGTGTGCCCTAAAAATGTTTGTTGTAAATCCTAACCTCTGTCTGTGGTTATAATCCCATTTGTGAATGGGTTGTTTGTTATATTAACCAGGCAGGATTAGGTTATATTAATGAGGATTAGGTTATGTTTGTTACGTTAATGAGACAGAATTAGGGTGTATCTTCAGCCAGTCTCTTTCGAGATATAAAAGAGATTAAACAAGCAAGCTAAGTAGTAGAGATTGGGGAAGAGAGATGCCAAGCCATATGAAGATCACCGAGGAGCAGAAGCTCAGAAAAGACAAGGACTTTCCTCCACAGCTGACATAGAGAAAGCGTTCCCCTAGAGATGGGACCCTGAATTCGGACTTCTAGCCTCCTAAGCTGTGGGAGAATAAATTTCTGTTTGTGAAAGCCACCCACTTGTGGTATTTCTGTTACAGTAGCACTAGATAATTAACACATATGTGAAAACTTATACAATGAAAGTTACAAAACACTGCTGAAAGAGACTAAAGAAGACCTAAATAGATGGAAGGACATTCCACATTCATGGATTGGAAGATTTAATATAGTCAATATGTTAATACTATCCAAAGCAATCTATAGATTTGACACAATCCCAATCAAAATTCCAACAGCATTTTTTTTTTTTTTTACAAAAATGAAAAAACTAAACCTTAACTTTACCTGGATAGGCAAGAAGCCCCGAACAGCCAAAGCAATCTTGAATAAGAACAAAGTAGGAGCCTTCACATTTCCTGACTTCAAAACATATTACACAGCTACAGTAATCAAAACAGTCTGGTACTGGTTTAATGACAGACACGCAGACCAGTGGAACAGAACTGAA